TATAAACTTCTTAAGTGAAATGTCCTTTGTTTGGGTCTGAAAAACAAATGAATAACAGTATATAAGAGATAGATTTAAGGTAGGTTGAATGGAAGTAGATAATTAAGGTGTTAGGTGAGGGTAATGAATCTGTTCATTAAATTATAATTCCTGTAAAGTGAGATCATTTTCCCCCTTTCTTCCCTTATTATTATTATTCTTCTTTTTAGAGAAAGTGGTGTGAATATGAGTTTGCTTTGGACCATGTCACCGTCACTGTATTAATATCGAAAACATGAATTGGTCTTTGCAACTTTGTTAGATGCACATTAAAATTTTTGAAGACCTGAATCTACAGAAACGGGCCTTTTTGGAATAAAAACTTAAAGAAGACAAAAATAAATTAAAATTAATCTATATACAAATTGTTTATATAAGTTTTTCGTATTAACTCTTTTAAAAATTAATTTAAACTTATATTAATGGTATACTTTTTTCTTAAAATACATATAAAAAAATATATTTATAGAATATGTGCATAAAATATTTGACGAGTTTTTAAACATCGAGAAACACTCTATACAATAGGTAGTGAGTAAGTCACACAAGTAAGTTTGACACCACAACATAACCTAAAATCTTAAGACCTTATATATTATTCAACATTACCCAACTCTAACCAATGTGAGACTTCCTTGCACTACCGTTGCACTTTAATGACACACGCCCTCCACTCCTCTAGGGAGACTTACAGTACAAAGGGATGATTATACTCTTAGATCTCCTGCCAATTCTATTTAGGATCCCACTATTAGATCCAACCAATACTCGTCTGAGTCGATCACCAGTCATTTGATCGAACCATCGGTTCTGATACCATTGTTGGGGAGTTTTTAAACATCGGGGAACATTCTACACAATGGGTAGTTAGTAAGTCACACAAGTAAGCTTGACACCACAACATAACCTAAAACCTTAAGGTATTAGGTAAGTGAGTCTTTCTCACTTATATATTATTCAACATGTCAAACTTTAACCAATGTGAGATTTCACTTCACACTTGAATTCCAAAATTTATAAAAAAATTTATCCGTTTAGTAAGTTTATTTAACAAAAAAAATTATTTGAAAAATTTATAACTTATTTTCAACAACAAATTTAAGTAGTTTATAGTTTATAAAATCTTAACTTTTTATTTTTTTATTTCATTAAATTTTCTGAATTTTATTCTACCTTTTTAATTTAAAACTATTTTACATACATTTATTTTCTTTATTTTATTATCAAATAAATAAATAAATTATTTTACATTAATTAACTAGTTTATCGGTTAATATTATTAAAGACTTTCAATTCAATTAATTAATTTATAAATTTTTAGTTTATAATTTATAAATTTTCAGTTAACTTATAAATTTATAGTTTATAGTTTATAAATTTTTGGTTAATTTATAAATTGTTTTATTAATTTATAAACTAATTATACCTTAAAAAAAGAAAGAAAGAAAAAGATAGATGAGGGACAAGAGGAAACTTTGACATTGTTTAGCATAATTCGGTTTTGATTTAACGTATTTGCCAACCGAAAAAGACGGACTATAAATTGTATTGATCTTTATTAAGAATTGTTCAACAATAAGAAAGGTGTCTCTTCTTTTTCGTTTATTATTATTTGTATTCGAATTACTTGTTTTGTTGACTAAATAATTTATGCAATAATAATATAAAATAATTTTACATTTTTATTCAATTACAGAGTAATATGTATGGTTTCTTACATCTTGTAATCAGTTAGCATTGGCTGAAAACACCTTGTGCTTCTTAGTCAAGTTTATTTATTTTTAATAAATTTTACTATTATGTATTATATACTTATTGATTTTTATAATAATCATCATAAAATATAATAATAATTAATAATTTTTTTATCAGTTGATAGTGTAAAATTTTCAACAATGCTACTTAGCCCAAAATAAAATATGCATGAAACATACAAACTCTTATGTGGATGGCTTGCATTTCTTAATTAGTAAATAGAATTAGTTTAAAAATAAAAAATAATATATTGTTTGACAGAATACACATTCGTACAAATTTAATTTTTACAAATTAACATTTCTCAAAAAAAAAAAAAAAAAAGATTGACAATGTATAAAAAGTAAAATAATTTTATTTTTTTATGA